TGTTAACTTCTATTGTAGACCCCTCTTCACTCCCAACACCATGAGAGAGATACGTAAGAGATTGTTGAGTCAAAAGGAAAATATTCATATCAATACAACTGCATTAGGTCAGTGGAGGCTGGAGTTATTTGGTAAAAGCATCTAAGAGGATTAGATAATTAAACATGTGGACCATAAAGTAGTAGGATAACCTATAAGATCATGTTGCAAAATGAAGTCCATCTCCACTGAGGCAGCACTCAAATTTATCAAATATGGAGTCATTATTATACAAATCATACAACTGCATGGCAAATTGCATCCTATTAATAATAAAAAAAATCGGAAATTTATCATATTATAAAATGAAATAACTCAGATAACATTTGTTTGCAGAACATGCGTCAAACAAGTATGTCAAGACAAATGACAAACCAAGTAGCAGGTTAAGTTTACCAATAACACGAGATTGTCTAATATCCAAAACATGCTTAAGTTGGTCAATGGTCTCTGGACTCTAGCACCACCAAATCCATTGTTCATTTTATTTCACTGTGTGTGTAGTTGCATGCCAACTCCTTTGTGTGTTTGCGTGGCATGAAGGGATTAACGAAATAGATCTTAAGGTCATGACAGCACCAATGATCTGTCATATGTAAGTGTCTTCTTTCTTAAGATGTGTGGGCTATTTTGCTTTCGACATATCACAACTCAATTGATGACTTAGAAACATGTAACGTGATGAGAAAAAAAATATAGAGATAAGAGAGTGACAACTTCTACAGCTCTGGACAGCAAGCATCCACAAAGAAAGGAACTTAATGTTAACCATTTGACATCTTCTCTTGCTACTAAGCTAAGCCGGCTTCTTACTGAACAATACTATCAAGATAAGCAAATATGCCAATGTACAGGAAATACTAACACGATTTATAACAAAAAGATTGAACCCTGTGCATAGAAGTTAATTTTTCTGTTAAATGGGGTCAGTGTGTTTTGCTCTTTGCACTGAGCTAAGTATGAATGCTTAGTGAAAATACCATCATCAAGAAAAGCAAGTAGGCCAGTCTGTCAATGAACAACCTATTAAAATGAGATTGCAAGTTTTCTGTTTTCTTTGGATGTATAATACAAATCATTCATGCAAAAAAAAAAAAAAAAAAAAAAAAAAAAAGAGAGAGAGAGAGAGATTGCAAGTTCCAGAAAGACAGATAATACAAGACAAAAGTACTCATCTATCATTCATGAGTTTCCACTTGAGTCATCTTAATATAAACAGGCACTAGAAGGATATGCACTTACATTTGGGCGTAAGTGTTCATGAATCTTGAATGTTGCAACTGGTGAAGAATCCATACGACATCCCATAGCTGAAACATAAAATGAAATCATTGGTTAATAGAAGACATAAGCACGTTATTTGAATTCAGAAAAATGGTATCCCCATCACCATGTTTCATGCATCTTTTCATACTATTATGATATCCAGAATTTGATGTACTCGCTGATCAGTGATCTGTTCATATTATTATCACTAGAACTTAGGAATTTAGAACAATATGTAGGCAGAGTTCCGGGGGGAAACAAGAAACCATGACAAAAAATAGACAGGATCAGAGAATTTCTCTGGAATGCCTCCTCTTTCCCGAACCCAAAAGCCTAAAATTGAACTAAAACTAAAAAACATAGCATCTTACCTTATTTATTCAAAAGAAAAATGTTTCAAAGAATAAGTAAACGTGTTGAAAAAAAATACAATGTCAACAAAATCAGAGAAAACAAAGAAGTCATAGAAAACACTAATTTGAGTTTGGATGAAATTACCTAGAAAATCGCATTTCATATTTAATGAGTAATTTTCAGTCTAGGTTAGGTACCTTAAGGTTCATATAGTCACGGCTTAAGATGTGCCGTCCATCAACTGAAAACTTTATATCAGATATGGAAGCAACAATCTCGGTAAGGAATGAACGTGACCCAGGACATTGTTCATCCTGAAATCTGTATAACAGAAACCAAAGATAATGAGTATTTGAAACCTCCATTCCATGTTTGATGGTAACATAAGTCAATGGTCATGATAACTAAAGAACTGCGAGGAAGAAAGAGGACCCACAACTCACATCATTGCATTGAAATAGCATAATGCTGATTGTTGCATGTCAACTAGACGAATAAAACCTCTTGAGCTGCTATATGAAAGTAGGTTACAATGAGTTGGATGGAACTCAGCTGACGTTATGACCTCTGAACAAAAGTAAACAAGATTGAGAAAAAATGGGTTAAAAACAGTAGGATAAAAATAAAAAGGGTCTTAGTCATAAGTCAAAGCATAGGTAAGGATGTCACAATATAGGAAGGCTGCCTTATCAAAAGGAAATGAAAATTATTTGACATCAATTGCATTGGAACAACAGATAAGGGAGCTTCACAACTAGGCCAGACCTTAACTATGATTCAACCAAGGAATGAGAAATATAAACTAGTCATCTATCTTATTGGTTTCCTCCGCTCACTATATTTAACTCATTTATAACAAAAGTAAATTCAGTACATTTAGCTACAAAATGTGGAGACAAACAACGAAAAATTGAATTTCAAAAAATAAAATAAAATAAAATAAAGACACCAAACAACATACTTTGGAATAAAAAGAAACACAACAATAACACCCATTACCAGTAAGATCCTCCATATTTGATGTATTCATGTCAACGATATTAAATGACTGATCAGTGACTTCAAGGTTCCACAAGTTTACCCTAAGATCATCTGCAGATATAAATGTCTCACCATCGCTGCAAAAGGGTTATGAAACAATATTCTCCCTTAGATGCAGCCAAAAGTTGTCAACTTTTAATTATATACTTCGTTGAATGCCCTTCCTACATGCAGAACCCAAAGCACTGTTCTGGAACACATTTGTATGCAATAATTATAAAAATAAAAAGGAAAGGAAAAAATTATATTTCTGTTGAAAAAGGAAACACCAAAAAGCACATGATAAAATTTCTGGATGGAGGATTTACCTGTTATTCGAAATTGAATTGATATTAAAATCATGAGCATGAGCATGAGCATACACCCTTCTACATCTTGCATAAGCAGTGTCTTCATAGCTGGCAATCTAGTAACATAACAAGGCAGTAAATAACCTTGCATACCAAAACAATACCTCTAAATGATCTCTGCCCTAGTCCACTCAATACTCATCATACACACCTTAGAATGCAATTCTTGAGATGAGAAAATATTGTTAGCCACATTCTCTTCCCCTTCTAGGTTATTACCATTAGCAACAGATGGTATGTCTTGCTCATTCAAAAAAATCCTTTCAGCCAGAAGAGCATTTTCTGAAGAGACAAATTTACGAGGAAAATCCATTTCCCTGGCTTTTTTCACCTTTCGATCCTTTACCTGACAGGAAAATTTCGTTTACATTTTTCAATGTAGCTCATGTAAAGAAAAATGGGAGAGGAAGTTATCAGAAATCATAGGAACCCACACCTTCCACAGTTTAATTGTCTTATCGTTGGTTGAAAGGATAAAGAGTGATCCATTGAGACTTGTACACCATTTTAGTTTGTTGATCTTCTCTTCAATCTCCGGACTCTTCAAATAGTCGAACTATAAAAAGGGACATGGCATCAAGAACCACTATAAATGGATACAATATGATAACATGACAGTGTTTCAGGTGTAAGTGAGCATACCTCAGGTTCATGACTGAAATTCAGTTTTATATTGATATTCAGGATGGTTTAAAGAGACATAATCCAACTGTTCTAGTTGATTTCGGGAATAGTGCTGCTCCGCAGTCTATGAAGCAATTTTAAAAGAAGATCATAAAACAACCAATACAGCTGCAGTGCAAGCCTAGGACATTACAGACATTAAACATGTTACAAAGACAAATAAGGATCCTCTTTTCTTCTTTTGGATAACACGTCTCCATTTCATTTATTACTTTGGCTAATTGCTTTGTGGTATTTACATTTCTACACTCCCAAAAGTTGTTAAAAAAGCAAAAGAGCACCAATTTTTTTAAAAAATAAGAAATGGATAAAGTAAAATCATACGCTTTCTTAGTCAGAAAAGGAAAACTCTTGTTTATTTAAGTAGATATTCACTTTTTGCTCTTAGCTTTCTGCATTAGAAAGCGAAACAATGAAAACAGACCGAAGTCGAGTTGCAATAAAACTGAGAAATTCTCACATCTTTTCCATCCTTTGTCTCGAATATCACAATCCGACCGCCTCGATCTCCAACAGCAACGTAATTACCACTCTTGTCAAATTGAACCGCATATATTATATCAGCTGAAAAAGAAAAGAAAAACACCTCTACTCCTCATTTCGTTTCAAACAAGTAAAATTTAAATTTGAACAAATAATGAAGATTGCTCATAAGGAGCAGTGACCATGCAAGCAAACAAAACACCACTCGATGGAGATAGAAGAATAGAAAGCGCAAACCGTCTTGAATTTCGTCGTCGGGGCTTCTTTCACCGAAAACTTGAGAGAACTTCCAGTCCAGAGTAGAAGCGCGAGTGGATGGGTGGAACGTGGTTGATTTCATGCTAGCTTCGTTCCTCAGTCATTAAATGGTACCGTTTAGTCCATTCTGTTGGAAGAAAGCTCAGAAGAAGAAGAATTATTGAGAAAAGAGGAGCTTCTCTGTCGTCGAACTCGAATCGTATGCGTTCTGTTCCCTGTTTTGGGAAACGGATAGAAACTGCGCCATTTAGTTTTCTCGTGCCACTGCAGAATACGTGGTGTGGAGTCTCCGTACCAATCACTTGTTTATTTGGACTATATTTTACTTATCCAAATTCTACATATTAATTTATTATCGATGAAATTTTTTTATTTTTATATTTTATAATGATTAATATCTATATTTTGATCTTATAAAGGAATTATTTTGCTCTTAAAAATTAGTAATGGATCAAATTCTCTACCTCATATAATTGAAATATAAAATAGAATTAAAAAAGAAAAAGAAAGACAAACAAACATATATGAAATATACAAACATTGATGAAAGCCATACATTCGACCATGTCTTGCATTTTAAAGAAAACCTCCCGCTCAAAACGGATCGGTATGAAAATTATAGGAACGTCAGGTTTCTCTCGTTTGGAAAAAAAGAAGAGAATTCCAGGTTGCTGCAGTTTCCGACAACCGCCACGAAGAAAATGCCAGGGCCAGGACCGCACCTCATGTATGCAATGAGCTCTGGCATAGCTCTGACGCACCTCACCAAGGGGCGTTTCACGCCTCACCACACCCTCATTTACGCTCTCAACGCCTTCTTCGGCCCAGACATGGGCTCCTTCTCTGAATGGCTGAGCTCCACTTTCTTTGACGGAAATTCCGTCGTCTCTTCTTTAGGCGATGAAATCCATCACCCTTTTTATTATGTGGTGATTCTTGGTTTTCCTTTATGCGTTTTCTATTCTTGGCTATCAAACGAATTGGTGGGAACAAGGATACTTGATTATGGTTATGGGGTGAGTTTAGTTTTCTTTCTAGTAGCAAAATGGGAAATGTATTTCTTTATTAACGCCAATAGTGATCAATACCTAATTACAACACCACCATGTGATTTGGTTGCTAATGTTCATGTTGCAGGTGCCACTTTCAAGGTTGCAGGCCTTATTCTTGATAGCAGCTGGTTCATTATCACACTTTTTTCTTGACCACTTATTTGAGGTAAAATTTCATTCTTCATATCCAAGGCTTAATATTTTTGCGAGGGCAAATTGTTGTTTCATCCTCTCCCATTCATAGCTAAGCCAAAGTATAGGTTTGGAGAGACCAAACAAAGACTTTACATCCTTAATTATCAGGTTTTTGTTAATACAATTAGATTGAGGTTTCGGACGCTTAGTCCAAGTGGTACACAGGTTGTCTGTAATTCATACAAGCCATGGATGGATTCGCTTTTTTTTTACGTAAAGAGTTGATGGGGGTAATATATATACAGGAAGATGGTCACACAAAAATGTATACTTGGATAATGAGCACCGGCTGGTGGATAAACCGAGCACCTGTCAACCCAGATGCTGTCATAGTAGTTGGCTTCTTATGCATTTGTTTGATTGGCGGCTTCATTTACATCAACAGGTGCTTAATTATTTCTTCATCTTATTATACATCTCAGCATCCATTATATCCTTTACCTTCATTTTGCAGTTCAAAGTTAAGAAAGTCAACTGCGAGAAAACAATCATGTGAATCAATGAAATTGATACTGATTATAGGAAGCCTGTACTGCTTATGGTGTGCAAGCCAAATATATTGGATGAGCCCTCGTCGCCCACCGGTTGGCGAAGAAGCTGATCTTGGAGTTCTCGTATTTATGGCCATCTACTTTCTTCTTCCTCACTGGCTCTGTATTTTATCCATGGACCCTATTCATCTTCGCACACAACGCTTCCCTGTATAGTTTGCATTCTGAGGCAGGGTGATCATTGCTCCCCCTACAGAATTTGAATGGGATTATTTCACTCGGCTTCTTGTACTATATGATCCTAAATTAATCCCTATACTCACATTGTGACTAATTTAATTTCTTTTTAAGGAAACATGTAAAATGAATAGATTTAAAGTGACATGATTCACCCTCCAGTTTTATAGTTAATTATGAACTTTGTAGTTTTCGTTAAATCGACCCAAGATGAAAAATTGATGTGTTACAAATACAATTCAGAGTAAAAAAATAAATGCAATGTTGGCATGATTAAGCTGCAAATGGTTTCTCAAAGTTGTTGCATTTACTTGGTATACATGTATGGGGGGGGGGGGGGGGGGGGGAAGAAATTGACCTGCAACATGTCATCTCAGAATGTTGTGCGCCACATTTTCTTCCCTCGCAAACTTCCTATCAACTTTTTTTATTTTTAGAAATAATAAGTCGTACTACTCAATTACAAAATTCCAACGTAAGCAAGTTTAGGAAAAGGTAAATTTAAAGTAAAACTATTCTTAAATGTATACGAGATCTAAATTAGATAGGTTTTGATTTAATATAATTTTATAAGATGGATTTTTCTAAAAATGAAAATTGTATTTGAGTTAAGTTGATTTTTTATGGTAAAATACCAAAATAGGCATTCGATTGTAGAATACTATTTTTTTAGTTCACCGACTATTAGAAATTACAAAATGATATTTTGACAATAGAACATTGTTTCGTTGAGTCCTCTGACTATTAAGAGTTACAAAATGATCATCATATTATTCATATGTTCCAAGCTCATCATTTTTTGTTAAGAGATGTCAGAACTTCCCATAAAATGCTTGCAGTTGTGTGCAAATCCTATCATTCAGTAGGTTCTCTTCAGCAGTATAGGCATAATTGCAAAGTTGAATCTAGGTTCGGTCTTCATGTAGAGCAAAAGCTACCGCTCTTGGTAAATCTTTAAGTATCAGATTCCTTGTGCTCTGCCTCGAGGAGATAGGGTACTGTATGCATCTAACTAATTGGTCCTGAAACGTGAACGTACATCATTACCACTATCCTTATATAAAATTAAGAACAATTCTTCAACAACTGAATTCAACTATTATATATAATGTTCAATCATGCACTCCTTACGTTGGAGGGCTCTAAACCCTAAACCCTTAAAGAAAGCTTGCCTTACCAATTCCTAACTTACCATTTGGACCCTGCAAGGGGTTTTATTGGCTATGCAGTCAACATGATTATGAGCTTCCTTTATCCTTTCGTATTTAGTCAGACTGTAGAGATTTGAATCAATTAAAAGTTATTAAATAATTTAATCCAATTACCATTTGAAGAACAATTACATGAATACATTGATACTTACTGGTCGCTTTCGATTTTCTTCAATGTTGATATGCTGGGGCTCTATTTGTTGGTGATCATCTTCGCGAACAAAGATTAAACTTTCAACCTATAACCATTCAAAAACAATAAACTTTAAAACCTAACCCCTCTTTATGAAGACTAACATTCTAAAACATTAGGGTTTTGACAACATACCTATCAAACACATGAAAGGAAAAAAGTGTCCAATCTGGAAATCAATCAAAACCTAAATTAAATACCATAATATCGGTAAATTTACATAAAGAACTTATCGTAACTGTTATGAACGCTGGTATTCGTCGTAGTGGAAGAGTTCTCTTTTGCCTTTAGGGTTTATCGATTTAGGGTTTATATAGTGTTATCGACATATAATAATGAAGGAAAAAAAATAAGCGTAATTTAAAAAAAGTATCGACATAAATTTAAAAAGTGTCGATACATTATGTAGACCTATTTTCTCATAAAACCAGTAAATTTGTACATGTTATATTGTTAATTTACCTATTACATTGTAATTATCAGTTTCAATGTTTTTAGGATCGATACAATTTAAAATATATTGACACTTTATGCGTGCACCCAGTTTGGCATTCATTTTGGACAAAAAGTATCGACACAAATTCAAAAAGTGTCGATACATTATGTTGACCGCTTTTCTAATTAAACCGGTATATTTATACCAGTTACATTGGAAATTTACCTATTACATTATAATTATTGGTTTTGATATTTTTGGGATCGATACTTTTTATAAATGTATCGACACTTTATGGGTGCACCCTTTTGGGCATTCATTCTGGACAAAAAGTATCGACATAAATTTAAAAAGTGTCGATACATTATGTAGACCTATTTTCTCATAAAATCGGTAAATTTGTACCGGTTATATTGTTAATTTACCTATTACATTGTAATTATCAGTTTCGATGTTTTTGGGATTGATACAATTTAAAATGTATCGACACTTTATGCGTGCACCTAGTTTGGCATTCATTCTGAACAAAAAGTATCGACACAAATTCAAAAAGTGTCGATACATTATGTTGACCGCTTTTCTAATTAAACTAGTATATTTATACCGGTTACATTGGAAATTTACCTATTACATTATAATTATCGGTTTCAATGTTTTTGGGATCGATACTTTTTATAAATGTATCGACACTTTATGGGTGCACCCTTTTGGGCCTTCATTATGGACAAAAATATCTACAGAAATTTAAAAAGTGTCGATAAATTATGTAGATCTATTTTCTCATAAAATTGGTAAATTTGTACCGGTTACATTGTTAATTTACCTATTACATTATAATTATCTAATTCGATGTTTGTGGGATCGATACTTTTAATAAATGTATCGACACTTTATTCGTGTACCTCGGTTGGGCATTCATTATGGACAAAAAGAATCGACACAATTTAAAAAGTGTCGATACATTGTGTTGACATGTTTTCTAATAAATCGGTATATATCTACATGTTACATTGGAAATTTACCTATTACGTTATAATTATCTCAAATTTTTTACCATTTTCTAAAATTTTAACCAATTTAGAAATTCTAACTATGGAAACTTTGTTGTAGAGATTAATGAAAACGATTCTACAATAATTTGTTTTACATTTTCATGAAGATATAAAATACATTAATAACTAGTATTGACATTTCAATAATCCTCAAATGTCTCGGTATACAGAGAAGCAAATATGGATATAAAAGCCTGACCAATCAACCAACAACGATTCGGAGATCAAATATCGTTATATATTAGGAACAATCAACCTAAATGAAACGCGAGGGAAATCTCGACCATCATAAATTTGAGTAACAAGCAGGAAGACTGGAAAGGCGAAGAATGCCTTCCGAATACTATCCATTTCATGCAGCTCACGAAGATAGGATAACCGTAAACTGAAATCGTCTGAGAGAAACATAATTGTTGTACAATCAGTTGCATATTTAAAATCTCGAAGGCAGTCCATTTGATTCTCAAACATTTAAAGCATTGGAAGCATTTCAGACTTATGATTTGGGTACTACACGGGTAATGCAACAAAATGCATCCAAATATTCTCGACAATTAAACACTAGATCTTTTAATAATAATGTTAAATAATAGAATATACATATGTAAAACATAAACCCTGGTACAATTAACAATGTAAACGGATAAAAATTCTCCAGTATAATGAAAATAGTCGTAAATGAAAAGTTTAGATGCTTGTCATGTACACCTATTATCATTGCACCGGTAGAATTTTACCGTTTACATTGTTAATTTAGCAAAGTATCGATAGTTTATAAACGTGTACCATTTAATTATTTTTGTTATTATTACAAGTTATAGACCTCAATTATCAGGATTTTTAGTTGCCATTTGTTGCATTTCCCATATACCACCCAGATCATATGTCCGAAACATTTTTGACGCTTTAACTGTTTGAGAACCAAATGCATCACCGTTGAGATTTTAAATCTGCGGCTGCTTCTACATCAAGTGTGTTTGGCTAAGATATTTTCAGTTTAGGGTTAATATATATCAATAAACTGCTTGAAATGGATAGTATCTGGAAGACATTCTTTGGATATCCAATCTTTCTGCTTCTTAACCAAAAATTACGATGGTCGAGATTTCCCTCGCATTTAAAGGTGGAAAAAAAAGAATGGAAATTAGGATTAATCAATGATCACATGCATATTGTCTAAGTTAATAAGTTTTGAAAAATGTAAGTTGTTACCTTAGAAATGGAATTTTATGTTACCTCCCATGCTTCCATTCAGTAAGTTGTTGTTTGGATGGAACAAAGGATCGGGCTAATATTTATGGTGGAGCCGAAATTTATATTGAAATTCAAATTGAAATTTAAATTCAGCCTTTGGTTAAATATGAAATGAACATGAAATGCAATGTTAAATTGAACATGGAAATTGCATAATTGTCTGAGACTGTTCAAGTAACATGCGTTATGAACCATCAAGCGGGTAAAAGACAATATTGATTCAGTTCAAAGCTGAGTTGTGAGTTGATAGGGTTGTCACACTTGTCATATGTGAATAAAGTACTCACATGGAAGAGATAGATTGTTTTGTTATGCACAACCCATCCGAATGGAATATTTACTGTATGTCACATGTTATACTGTGCAATATTAAAAGACACAGTTACTGTGTTATATGTTTATACATAACAATGTTCAAATAATCAAACCCACAACGAAATCCATATGAATGAAATATACTAACAATATAATCAAACCAAAACATACATACACAAAAAATTTATACATAATAGTGTTCAAATAATGTACCCACAATGAAATTAGTCTGATAGAAAAAGGTTACTGCTAACAAAGTCCGGAACATTAGGCGCCTTCAACAAAATTTTCAAATACTCTTGTATGTTACCGCCTTTTTCTGAGGACGTATATAAAGAATTTCAATTATCAAACTATTCAGGTGCAATTTTACTAACACGAAACTAAATTAGCATAATCAACAATAAATTTGTGTCATACCTAGAGCACCGTCTTTCGAATGGGAAGCAGCGTGGAAGGGATATGGACATATGTAATTGTTTTTCTATATAAAAACATAAATTGTTAATCAATCAATGTATGAACGCCTGTTTAACTGGAAAATTTTGGTATAAATGTAACTTACCAGATTATAAATCATTTTTCGCGCTGAATCATCGACGAACAGTGTATTTAGGGCGTTAAAATCAGGATACTCGTTCCAAACATCATTGAGATCTTTGCAATAGGTCACATTATCTTCTGTTTTGCA